GTAGGGGCCAAGGACAGTTTCTCTCAGAGTGGGATTTAAGAGTCCCCAATCCCAGTTTCCTTCATCTACCCCCAGGGCTTGAAGAATACGCATGCAGGGGTATAGTTGAGCATGCAGGGGTACAGTTTGGCTTAATGCTCTACTGTCACTCTCTGGAAATTATGGTTTTTGTGTGTGATATTGGGGATTGAATCCAGGTGCACTCCATCACTGAGCTTCATTCCCAACATTCCCAGCCCTTTTTATTATTTTGAGATAGGGTCTTGCTAAAAGTTGCTGAGGCTGGCCTTGAACCTGCAATCCTCCTGCCGCAGCTTCCTAAGGAGTTGCTGGGATCACAGGGGTGCAGCACCATGCCTTGAAATTCTTTATAGAGTTTTGAACAAGGGACCCTGCATTGCCTTCTTGTACTGAGCCCCACAGATTCTGGAGCCTATCTTTCCACCTCTCCCAGTTTTTGAAATTCAGATGGTCAGTCACTTCTCTTCTCAGCTCATCTCCTGCCAATCCCTCTCTTCTGGGTAACCTGCCTTCACGCTGGTCTTTGGCCTCATTATCACAAGGCTGGTCAATACAACCCTGGGAGGGGCTGACATCCCCCACTGCAGGTCTTTTGTGGGGATTTCCCCAGTGAACCTGGGCCACTCTGGTTCTCGCTGAGGAACAAATAATGCCTACCCCTGCACCATCTGTGATCCCCTCCTAGTTTAGCTGAGGGACCTGGAAGTCCAAAGCCTGTCCTCCATTTGTTCTTGGAGCCCACAAAGCCTCGGAGGGTGCTTAATAAATACTGACTAATGAACCTACCACTGCTGTTCCTTTGGCTAATTAAATCTAAATAAGTCACAGCCTTTGAATTATGCAACAAGGCCCGGCCAAAACAGCCTAAAAATGTGAGTCCTAGGTTTTCTGCTGCGCCCTGTGGAAAAATCCCGTCTTTTAATCATGCTTATCCTTCCTGAAGGAACAGTGGCGACCTTTAAATAATGAATGAATGTATATTAGCAAGATTTTCCCTAAGCCACACACAAGAGCCAGATCAAAACAGGGCAAAAGGCAGACACAGGCCTGGAGGGGTTCCAGAACTTCATGGTGATTCCTGGGGTGCCGGTCGAAATCACTTGGCTTCTCAAAGAAGCCCTGAGCAAGCACAGGTGAATGAGCGCAGAGGGGTGGGCTGCTGCTTCTGGCCTTAGCGTCCTGACGTCACACAGCAAGCTTCTGCTGTCCTTTGTTGGTGCCTGGTGTTGATGGAGACTTTCAGAGCACCTCTAAGGTGCCTTACTCAGTACTGTCCCTCTCCTCCTTTTCTGTCTTGACCCCTCTTATCCTCCCAGAAGGCCCTTGAGGCCGAGAGCAGTGCCCTCACAGCAGGGGGCTGGCGGGATGAAGTCTCATCACTGGAACAGCCTTCCCAGCCTGGATCGTGCCTGTGAACTGCCAGGGAGATTGTCAAAATGCATCTGATTCAGTGGGTCTGGAGCAAGGCCTGGGACACTGCATTCCTAAGTGGCTTCCCAGGACATCCTGAAGCTGCTGATCCACAGACCCCACTTTGAGGAACAAGAAGTTAGCTTTTCAACTGTGGTTGTACATTAGAATCCACTGGGGCACTTTCAAACACTAGGCTTTGGTCCTTATTTCTTTACTTTTGCACTGAGTTAGAGTCTAGATAATTTATAGGTCACCCAAATGAAGAAAACCTAGTAGTGAACTGCTAAACTGGGATCAAAGGTCTTTGGAACCAAGCCTGCTTCCCTGCCTGCCTAGAGATGTCAGCTCTCTCCTGACTCTAGCCTGTCCCTGGGCTTGGGGTTGCAACCTGAGATTCCACTTGGAGGGCAAGCAAGATTCACCATCTTTATCTCCCCCTATGCCTGCCCTGAAATTTTACTATTGGCACTTCATTATTTGGGCTAAAGCTGAGTGTAATTCATTCCACGTGTTATAGTCTTAAGCATCTCAGTGTCAGGGGGCTGAGCAAATCCCCCAACTGGGCCTGGATTGTGTCCTGTGGGATCTGGGATCAGGAGAGGGAGGGATGCTTGACTTCAATTTGCTTCCTCTTGCAGCTTTGTAAGGGCACAGAGAAGCATGTCTTTCCAAGTCCCCAGGCAAGGCCACTGGCCTGTTGGTGGAGGTCATGAGACCTCAGGCAGGGGTCAGGAGGGTTGAAGACAGAGTGGCTCCAGGCGTGTGTCCAGGGAAAACCATGACCTCCCCGCTGTGGCATGTGGTTGTGGCCTGTGGTGCTTCTCCTGAGACTAGCTGCAGCTGTGCTCCACCCACTTGTTCAACCCCAGGAAGAATCAGGCTCTGCAGCTCCAGGAGTTGGAGCTGGGTCTTAGAAAGTAGGAATGGTGGACAGAGTTATTTGCTTATGTAATGTCTCCCACAACCCATACTATCTGAATTGTAATTTTGTTCAAAGTTGCAACAGTGCCCAAGCAAAACACTATCTTAGATGCAATGCAGTATACTTATCTATGAAACGGTGATAATATACATTGCTGTCTCCCAGGATTTTGGCAAAGATAGCCTCCATCATAAGCATTGACCGGGGTTCCTGGTGCATTAGTGGTGCTCAAGAAGTGCTTGAGTGTTGAATGTCTTTCTCTCTCTCTCTCCCTCTCTCTCATTTTCTTGCTTTGCATTTCAACCAGGTGACCTGTACTAATTTTCAGGGTTGACCAAGAATTGTTCTTATTTTCTTAGCGGGCAGATCTTGAATTGTTGTCTTCAGTTTTCAAACGCAATAGCAAAGATAGAGGGAGAGCGTTCACGTCTCTGGCTATGGGTGTGAGATGCCATGCTAACTTAATTATTCAAGAGAGTTAACTAAATATTGCTCTAAAGATTTTTAAGGAAAATGGAAGTGTTTCCATTTAGTGATACTGGCAACAGGAGGATTGACTGAATGGCTGTATAGCACTTGGGGTTTGTTTACTTTTTGATTTTTGTTTGTTTTACAAACTTCTATTTCTGTCTGTGGTGACTAGATGAACCCTTTGCTATTGCAATCTCCTCCTTTTTCTTTCAGCTCAATTCCACACCAGAAAGCAGCATCAATTGTGAGACGTGACCCATAGCAAAAAGTGCTAACATAGAAAATTTAATGAGAAGTGACAGTTTTACCACTTGAGTTAAGTACCTGTCACACACAGTGATCCACGGTGGTGGATGCATTGAATTGGGTGGAAAATGAGAAACGGACATTAATGATGCTAATTTATAATGGCAGTGCAGCCCCAAGTAGGCTTCTTTTTTACACTGAGTGTCAGTCAGAGCCCAACCAGACAGAAACTTATTCTTTGGTCCCTCTTAAGGCAGATCCCTATGTGGGAGACGGGGAGACGGTCAATATAGACTTCCTTAGTGCTCAGCTGTGCCCAGCCTTGTTTGGTTTGCTGCATTATCGCCACATTAAAGTCTCCTGTGTCTTAACCACCCACCTTGCTGGGCCTGGGTGGCGGGGCCTAGCAGCTGACAGTCGGAAAGCAGGTGTGCCTTGGAGAAGAGGGAAGAGGCGGCAAGTGGAGTTGAACTCCTCTTCTTTGTGGTGCACATGCTGAATAACTTCTTGTCCTGCCTCCTTCTGAGCCTTCTAATGTCCACAGTGGTCCTTTGGGTTGCTGCTGCATGTTTATTTGGTGTGTGGGGGGGTGGGAGCTGGGGTAAACATCTCTGTTGCTAACAGCTGCTTATTTGCTTTGCATCTGTGGGTTTGTAAAGCTAATATATTGGTTTCTGAGTTAGCATCTCTGCATTTCTGCAAGACTGAGTACTTGGGCTGGTGGTTGGGGGGGCACCTCGGGTTGTGTGTGTGTTGCTTTCTATTTTCCTCTCCTTTTTTTTTTTTAGTAGAGTACCACTGATAACTTCCTCTGGGCCCCATCAAATGCTTAATTCTTCTTTATTATGTCCCTAGGAGTGTGCCCCACCTGCCTTACCAATGGGATGCCCTTCTGCTTGATGATAAGGATGCTCCTTCCCACCAGGTTCTGAGAAGCCCATCCTGAGCTCCCTGGAGATTGGCATCTCTCCTTTACAATCAGATATTGTCTAAAGACAGGCTCCCAGTCTGCATGGCCGACTGTGTGCTGCTCTGCTTCAGGCCCAGTGCTAAAGGAACCTTGCCAGTGTTATCCTGACACGTTTGCAAAACAGCCTGTAGTCTTGGCTCCTGTATAAGTGTCTTATTGCTGCTATAACAGACTACCACAAACTTGGGGGCTTAAAACAACATAGGTTTATTATCTTTCAGTTCTGTAGGTCAGAAGTCTAAAGTGGGCTGGTTGGGCTGGTTTACTCTAGAGGCGCGAGGAAAGAATCCATATTCTTATTTTTTTCCAGTTTCTGGAAACTGTACACATCCCTGGACCTGTGGCCCCTGCATTCCTCTGACCTCTGCTTCAGTGGTCACTTTCCCCTCACACCCTGCTGCCTCACTTATAAGGACGATATTACATTGGGTCCATCTGAATAATCCTGGGTCATCTCCCCATTTCAAGACCCTTAATTTAATGTGTCTCAAAGTCTCTTGGTGTGCAAGGTAACAAATTCACAATGCTGGGGTTTTAGACATAGACATCTTTGTTGGAGGGCAGGGGGAGCTATCCTCAAACCTACGACAGGCTCCCTACGTGTCAGAAAATCATGAATGTGTATAGACGTGGTGGAACCCAAGCCAGCTTGGCCATAGTGTGAGTCTATGATTCTGGAAAAGCTTTCTGAACCTTTCTTTCCCACAGATACCTTCCTAACCTTCTGAAATCCTGCTGGGTATAGCACGGTTAGCCACAGTGAGAACCAGGCTCAGGGCCAAGGGCTTGGACATGTTGCTTCATACTCGGGTGTCAATGGCTGACAGCTGAGCCTGAGGGAAGGTTCTGATGGAAAGAGGCACTGTGTAGGGAGATCAGCCAGGGAGGCTGGGCATAACTTGGATCTTAATAGCACTCAATCATGGGGGTCCCCAGTGATGGAGAGAGCAAAGGCACTTGGAAGTAGGACCACAAAGTTTTAATCAGACACAGCAAAATGGCCGCGATGCAGAACAGGTAGTGCTTGGAGAAGAGAAAGAAGACCATCTCCTTGGTGACATAGATTATGTGTATAAAGATGAAGCAGTACAGGAACATGGCAAACTGGTTCTGGGGGAGCAGGAGGTCCTGGAGGCCTCCCGAGAACTGTGGGGGAAAGAAGACAGTGGAGCTGGCGCCACTTCCTGAACGTGACTTCGTTATCAGCCTCACCTAAGGAAAGGGTAATAGCACTCCCTTCCCAAAAGCATGAGGAAGAGAAGGAAAAAAATAATGAGACAATTCCTGGTCAGGTCACTGGCCCATAGAGGGAGCTCATTCATTTTCCCATCTTGAGTCTGCTTTATCCCTCCTGGCGGGGAGGGGGGGGGGCCCAGGCCAACACCTCATTTCCTCTTCACACCCCACACTGTGCATTGGAGCACACGTGAGCAATTTCTCTCTCAGTCCAAGATTTTCAGATTTGAACTCTGGGTTTTGGGAGTGTTCTCTGGACATCTGGATATCAACCTGGATTTCTGGACAGGCAGAATGAGAGGGCATCCCCTGGGGTATGGATGACTGTTTTTTGACTCCCTGGGTCCTGGCACAGACCACCTTGTCCAATCCATTGGTATGTTATTTAGTGCAGGGTTTGGTTTCTTGTGGGGGCCGGTGCTGAGAGATGAGCCCTAGGGCCTCCTTACACCCACAGGGAAGGCACTGGGCTTGGGCAAAGCAGCTTGAGTGATTTGATTCTGCCTCTAAGTTGCTCTTTTCTGGAATCTGTATAACTGGGATCTGACAGACCTATTTTAACTGTAGAGAGCATCAGTGTATAAGTAAAGCAAAGCTGATACAATGACTCTGATCTGCAGTTAAGGCATCAGACATGATTTATTCTTTAAAATATATTTTTTAAAATCATGTCATATTTTTAAAAGCAGCAGATAACAAGGACTGAACTAGCAATAAATACACTCAAAGAAGAATTTTCGATGTAATGAAATCTACCCATTCAACCATCTTCCTTCCCAGCCTCCCAGAAAAAGAAAAGAGGGGAAGATCTGAAGCTTACAAGTAAAACACTTTGGGAAACTATTACTAATGATCTGAGGGCTTGGACACACCAACTGTCGAAACTGCTACAGGGCATGTGAAGGTGACTAAAGCTCAGAAAGGTTCAGAATGGCTCTGGTGGTGAGCCTCTAAAGTGATTAGGAAGGTTGGAGACCCAAGAAGAAATCCAACATTCTCTTAGCAGGGGCCATGCTCTGCAGACACTGGCTCTGGACTTGTGGGCTCCACCTCTCTCTGCAGTCTGTATGTGTTTTCAGTCTGAAATGCTGATGGGGTGGGAGGTGGGGTGGTAACTGTGATTTTTAATAACAAAACATGCATTTGTAAAACCCTGTAGACTTTTCAAAACACTTCCAATGGCCTATCTTTTGAACATAAGACTGAGGATGGGTAGGACAGAGGATGGATATACCATGGGTTCCCATCTCATCTAGCGAGGAGAAAGATTTTCAAATGAAAAAGGGAAGAATATAGTTAGGAGGAGACAGACCAAAGGCACAGTACATCACCATACCTACTTTCAGTAGTTTCAGGCTCAAATTTGTGTCAAATTTTATCCTAGGATACTGTGAAAACTTATGTGAAAATGGAACTTGCAGAATTTAAAAAAAAATCAGGAAATGTGCCAGAATATTAAAGACAGGCACATATTTTCCAGACTTTCAAAAAGGGAGGAAAAAGATGGATATGGAAGTCCTGATTTAATAAAGCTTTCTTGGCTCAGTGACATAATTTAATATATAATTAAGAAGATATTTTGTGAGAGGAAAAAAGATAATTAAGAAGTCAGCATGTGTTCATTGAGAAGAAATCATATAAAACCAAGTCTATTTTCTGTGTGTTTTTTTTTTTTTAAATTGACCAGTCCATTGGAGAAATGCTATAGGTAATATAATATCTTAATTCTGGGAAACCATTTGACAGTGTGTCTTGGGATAGTTTTTTTGGCCAAGCTGGAGAAATATGAGCTGGATAAAATGTAACTCCAGGGTGTTGATTAATGCAACATTGCTAACCTGTAGTGAGATCTTTTAGTGGTATTTACTTTAGGTCATATCCTCCTCAACAATTAGAGCAATGACTTGGAGAAAGACAGAAAGCAAGCTTCTCAGAATTGAGGATGACTCAGAGCTGGGAAGCATAGCTAATACATTATATCCCAATAAAATTGAAAAGTGATGAATGTAGGTTGTTGCATTTGGGTCAAGAAGTGAATTGCATGAGTACATAAAAATGGTAATAGCTAACATTTATTGAGTGCTTACCTAATGCATTGTGCTCATTGCAAAGCACCTTACATGCATTCTCTCCTTTAATCCTCATGACCCTACAAGGCAGGGGCCACCTTAGGGATGAGCAAACCAAGACTCAATGAGGATCGGTAACTTGCCCAAGGTTAAGTAGCTTACACAAGGTAGAGGCAAGATTTTAACACAGGATGGACTCAAAAGCCCAGGAAATAACTGTGTGAAGCAGTAACTCTTTCCTTATGGAGTGATTATGATGACCTAGCTACTGTGCTAAGTATTTCCCATCCCATCTCATCAGGCGTTCTTATCCCTGTTTAGTACAGATCAACATCAAGTGTCCATTTCTTGTGAAATTTCAGTTATCATCCTATAGCAACCACAGCCCCGGTCAGGGAGGTGGTGGGGCTGGACTTTAGGGAGGATGCTGGGTCTAGTCTCCAGTGGTCACACTGTATGAGATGCAAAGAGGAATTGAGAGTGTTGCAAAGTGTTGAAGACTTTCCCCTGAGGCTATCAAAAGGGCTGTTGAGTAGACCATGTGGTTCCAGGTCCCCTCCTAGCCTTAGAGAGCTGGCTCTCAGCTTTAACCTGGAAGCCCCAGCAAAGCCATCTTATGGGGGGTAGTGGTCTCAGTCCATCTCAGGAAGTGACCCAAGGCAGCAGAGCTGGAGGTGGCCTCTGGGATGGTCATTCCACTCAGTGGAGACCCTGGATCTGCAGAGTGGGACACACGGCCAACAGGGAGGGTGGACTCACTCCTGTCCTGGCACTGCGGGGTAGCCTCTGTGCCCTCGCCCCTGGTGTCAGCCCTGCCCCTGGCCCAGTGCCCCTCTCCCCACGTACCGGGCGGGGTGTGGCCTGCTGCTGCAGCTGCTCCATTGCCTCCTCGTGCTGCCGCTGCCGCTCGTTCTCCTCGTGCAGGTACTTGAGGCGCGTGAGCTCAAACTCCATGCGCGCCTTCTCCAGCTCCATCTCCTTGCGCTCTATCCCCGAGGCCTGGGGAAGCTCCTCCGGTTCGGGTCCATCACCCGCCTGACCCTTGGTGGCAGGTCCAGCATTTGGGGTCACTGACTTAGGGGGCTCTGGGGAACTTCTCTCCTCGTCCGTTTCCATCTCCTCCAGGTAGTTGGAGTCTGGCCTGGGGGACTCTGCCTCCTGGGGCTGGGAAAGGGAAGATGGTGGGGGCCAGTGGGGAGTCAGGGGGCTGCCCCCACCTTGACCAGACGGCCCTGCCAGCTCCAAGCCACAGTGGACTAGGGTGTGGGAAACTGTCCTGGATTGCAAAGATTCAGACTGTGTGCATCCTTATTAGACGCGTAGGTAGGCAGAGTTATCAGCACCCTCGGGCTGCAGAGGAGGAGGCAAATGCACACACAGGAACCCTGCCCTCAAGTGGCAAGCCCTAGTGATTTTCAAGCCCTCAGGGAGGACTTCCCACTGCCCACACTGTCAGATACAAGGTGTTCTGGGGGTCATAGAAGAATCTCAAACATTCTGAGAATCTAAACCTAGAGGAACCAACAAGAGGGACGGAGTGGGGAGTGGCTTCGAATGAGGACTCAGATGGGTGAGACCAAAGCCCGCTTCAAGGGACTTAACACTTTTGCGCAGGGCCACCTGATCCCTAGTGACAGCAGGGTGCCAGTTATGGGGATTGGTCTTGGTAGCTCTCTGGACCTCAGAGAACTCATCTCTTACCCCCTGTTCCGAGTGTCCTTTGTCCCCTGATGGAACCAGCTGGGGCAACCCTCTTACCAATGAAGCCCTGGGCTTCCCCTCAGATGTGGAGTCACTAGGCACCAACTTAGAGAAGTTGGGGCAACTTTCTCCTGCCCCCCGGGTTTCCATCACTTCTCTGTCCTCTGTTGCCATTTAAATAACCACAGTGGTGCCATCTAAGGCCAGAGGACATCTTTTGAGACAGTCACATTTGGCCTCACCAGATTCCACAGCCCAGTCGCCATCACAATCCCCTCATAATGATCCACATTCTACCAGTTGCTAAGGCCCCTTTGGTAAAGGGTGTGACACCTTTGAGGTGCCTATTATTAAGAACTCTCCCCCCTAAGGACTGCTTTGAAAACTGGAATTCCACCCCTTGAAATACAGAATCCCACCATATAAAACTAATCTCTTGGTTTCTTGTTTTAAAGGATTTTATTGAGATAAGTCACAACTGGCTCCTTAAACCCTGTTTGGCGCTGAACCCCCTCCTCCCAATCTCTAGGTTGAAATATTAACCCCCAGTAACTCAGAACGTGACTTTATTTGGAGATAGGATCTTTACAGAAGTTATTATGTTAAAAAGAGGTCATAGGGAGCAGTTATAACCATAACATATCAATGGCGTACAATAAACATTGATTTTGCTCAGTTAGCTAAAGGTTGGCTGATCTAGACTGGACCCAGCCAGGGGCTTGACTGAGGCGCTTTGTTCTGGGCATCGCTTACCCTCCTCTTGGAAACAGTGGGCGAGCCTGGGCACAATCTTTCCAAGGCAACGAAAGAAGCACAAGAGACCTTGGAACTGACACACCATCACTTCCATCTCATCCAATGGCCAAACCCAAAGTTGAAGAATAGGGAAATGTTCTCTACTCTTTTGGTTGAGGGGACTGCAAAGATACAGGACAGGAAGGTGTGGATACAGAGGACATATCTGGGAACAGTCAGGCAATGTACCCAAGAGTCAAGAGGTGAGTGATGATGTGACTGGAAGATTTGGTGGAAGAGGTGACATGAAGGATGGGAGGGATTTGAGTAAGAGGAAAGGATCAGTATGGCGCAGTCTCCGTTGATGATCATTATCCATTCACCCCTCCATTTCCACTCTCTGCTCTTCCCTACCCTGCCCTTTCCAGGAGGCTGACCTCCATGAAGCAGCATCTCATTCATTAAACAAAACAGTCTAGGATTCTCATTTTCCCTCTCCCTAAACTCATGGTTTAGGGAGCTCCCTGGGAAGTTGGGGAGATGGGTGTCATGAGCCTTGGGTTGGTTTGCACTTGTGGCAGCAGGAAAAGAGCCTTAGAGGAAGGGGACGTGCTGTAAAGCCATGTGAGGGAACATGGGTGACAGGGTCACACAGTAGCCTAGCAGCAGGGACTTGGGATGACTTGGCTTCAGAGGGACAGTTGATGCTGGATTCAGGAGGTCCTGGGGACCGGCAGCTAGGGCTGTGCACCTTCACGTGTGCTTTCTCATTGCTCTGCTTGGCTGGTTTATTTCTGCTGTGTCTTCTCACTTCTCACCTAGGTCCTTGGGTATTTTCCTACCTCATAGCTTCAGGTTTCTGCTTCCTCCCAACCCAAGGCTCATGACACTCATCTCTCCAACTTCCCAGGGAGCTCCCTAAACCCATGAGTTTGATGTATCCTGGGAGAGGGGAAATGAGAATCCTAGACTGTTTTTACCTATAACTTTGGCTTCTAGTGGTCCTGAGCATGCGCCTCTCTCTGTGCCTTTGTGTTGTGTTTGTCCTCACCCAGTCACTCATGGATTCCTAGTAAACTTTTCCAAGGGAAGGATTCAGAATGACCTGGCGTTTCATTCAGCCACTGGATAGCCCAGTGTCATCTGGGAAGCGGAAGGACAGGGAGGCCAGGGTCACATGGTACCACCTCAGGTTATCCACCAGCAGGAGTTGCAGGAGGGTTCATTTCCCTTTGCAGGGGCAGCTGGGGTGGAGATTAAAGGGCACATTCATAGAGCAATAGATCAACTATAGGGTTGGCAAATAACCAGATGAGAGACTTGTATATTAGTACAGCACTCGTAAACTTTCATGTAAATCATCTCACTGGATCCTCAGAATGCCCTTGTGGGGCAATTTAAAGCAGGTCCAGTTATTGCTGCCTAAAAAGCAGGGAGCCTCTGTCACACAGAGAGATGGGGGATTTGCGTGTGTGGCTGCACAGGATGTCAGCAAGTGACCAGGCTTCCCAGATCCTGCCCCTGTGTTTTAATACCAGACCACAAAGATGGTCTTTGGTGCTCCAACTCTAAAGAGGTATTTATTTATGCCTCATAGATAGAAAAAATATATGGGCATAGAGGTTTATGGCAATGTTGCTTATAATTGCAAGAGACTTAAAGCAATTTAAATTTTACCAGAAGGGAGCTGGTTTTAATTGGTCCTATATTGATGTCAAGAATACTAACAAGCAAGGTGCAAAGAAAGTGCTCCTGTGTGTATTAAAGTAGGAAAACACATGTGTCTAGAACATATCTGGAAAGACATGAGAAACTGGTTCCTGAGGGGATGGAGTGGGGAGATTCTGGGGTTGGGCTGGAGGGACTTATTCTTAACTCTATACCATTTGTACTTCTGACTTAAAAAGCATTCAGATATTATAGTTTCAGTTAAAATTCCCAAAGGTATCTGGAAGATGCTGGTGAAGGAAGTCTAGGATGTGTAACTTGTTGAAGTTGAGGACAGGCAGGGATCTGTGAGTCACATCAAACCTGTGCATCATCTACCCCATCCCTTTGTCCCCCCTTCCCTCCTGAATAACCTGTATTTCAACCAGGGATGAAATATTTTTTGAAATATGCAAATTTTTTTCTTTCCTTCCTGGCTGCTTTAGCTATGGACTCGGTGGCTTCATGATCCTGTACACAGGTGTATTGTAGTGTTCAGAGGATTATAGTAGTGACAATAATAATAGCTCACAGTGATTGGGCATTAAACATATACCAGCCACTGGGAATTTTTCATGGATTATTTAATTTAATTTTAAGAGCAACCTATAAATCAGGTACTATCATTATCTCTATTTTCATAGAAACAGAAACTCAGTTATAAAGGCTAACTTACCTATCCACAGGAATACAGTTTGGGAGAAACCAAGTTTTGAGCACCCAAACCAGGATTTAAGCACTAAAGTCCCTGAATTAAATACCTTTCTGCTTGAAATACCTAGAATGGTATCTATTTTCCTGGTTGAATTCTGTTGATAATGGGGGATTTGGGAGAAGGAGGTGATTCAAGATGCTCCAAGGATTTGTAGGGGAAATGAGCCTGAAGCCTGGGCAAGGAGCTGCCCAGTGAGGACCCTTCCTGGGAGCTGCAGGAATATGTGTAAATGCAGGTGTGTGCGTGAATTCCTCAGGCCCACTCAGGAAATGGAAACCACACAGCAATTCCAAAAGGGAAAGTAGACTATAAAGAATTATTAATTAGGAACAGGAGAGAGACTATTTAAGTAGCAGACAGAACTCTAAGAAATGCAAAAAAGAATCAAATTGAGAGAGGTGCTGCCTGAGGCCGAGAGTCTGACCTCGTTGAAGAGAACGTGGCTGAGCCACTAGATGGTATATAAGTTCACTGAAGTCAAGGTACCGCAGGTCATCTGGCAAACCCTCTGGAGTGCCAACAGAACTCACTGGGAGATCACCTAGGGTATACTGAACTAATCAAGAAATTTCTGGAGAGAACCTCAGCTGAGAAATTTCTCGAGAGAACCTCATTTGGGAAACTCAGCTGCCCCCAAAGTGCTACTCAAACTCTCTGGAGGTGAAAGTGTACTAAAAGGCCAGTAGATGTTCTGCACGAAGGCCAAGCACTGCAACATTTCAGGCAAAAGAGCAGCCCCTAGTCCTGTAATGTCTCTCTAGCGCCCTCTACTGAAGAAGCTCAATATCCTGCCAGCAGGCAAGAGACATGTTTATAGGGATTCGCTTCAGAATCACAAGCAGGGCAATGAAGGGTGGATTTGTAGTTGAGCAGCAATAAAACGATAATGGGTTCAGTGTGTGCAGACCAGCAAGTCAATTCCCCCACTCTCCCTGCTTTTTTTTTTTTTGGTACCAGGACTGAACTCAGGGGTGCTTAACCACTAAGCTACATCCCCAGGCCTTTTTATTTATTTATTTTATTTTGAGACAGGGTCTTACTAAGTTGCTTAGGGCATCACTACATTGCTGAGGCTGGCCTCAAACTTTCAATCCTCTGGCCTCAGTCTCTTGAATTACTGGGTTTACAGATGTGTGTCACTGTGCCTGGCTCAATTCCCTTTTAACATCCTTGTGTCATTGCCCTGCCTTTTGAGAATTCACCTCAAACCAATATTTCCCAAGTCCCTTCTGGGTTCATGACCCTGCACAGGGAAGTACCAAGGATGATATGAAACTCTTGCCTCTGTGGAGTATATCACAGCACTGGAGAAAGGGGGAGTACCTCCCAATGCTCCCTAAATACCCACTTGGCCTGCCTGCCATTTCACTGGTGGTTTCCACAGTCTAGAAAATGCTGTCTCCTTATTTCCACATGTGAGCGTCCCCTTTGGCCTCCAGCTCCTACTACCACCTGCGAAACTGCGTTATATCTCTCTGGCTGGTGCTTGTCCACTGTCTCCCACTGGATTAGAGGTCAGCTGAGGGCAGAGCATAAGGTCTTGCTTCCAGGAGCTGCCAGTGAAGGGGCAGCTTCATCAATGGCCCTGGCGAGGCTGCTGGCCCCCCCTTTGGCTAGTGAGTGTCACACAGGCAAGCAGATGAGAGGGTTGTGGAGACTTACCTTCTCTTTTTTGGGTCTAGACTCCCCAAGAGGAACCAGAGACCTCGTTCCCTAACCACCGTCTCCCTGCCTTGATGTGGGTGAGTTGGTAGTAGGTGAATCCCACCAAGTTGCTTTGAAATCCAAGTTGGGTAAATTTAATTAGATTTTTGAATGCTTGGGAATAGGGTGACAGGTGTGGGAACTTTGCTATTTAAAGGAACTCTGTGCATAATTTAACAAAACTGCTGTCTCCTCGTTTATAATTTATAAGAACTCGGTGGCTACTCATACAGTGGGTTTGTTAAAACATGGCTCCCTTATGGTGACCTCAGAAAAACCTGAAGAAGTACCCTGTGCTAGGTTGGCATTCTCCTAGAAATGTCCCAAGGAAGAGCCTGTGTCAGGCTAAAATCCTGGGCTTTTGTCATTTAGGGCTAGAAGAGGTCCTGGAGACCTTC